CGTTAGCATGCACCTGACCTACTGTTTTCACTCCCCTATCCTTTCCCCCATTAATGCAAGCAATAGATTGACTCTCTCTATGGATGGCAAGCAGCATCGTTCAGGGTCAAGCCCCACTCGTGCCATGTGGGTGCTTCAAATCTCCCGAGAGGTTTTACTTGTCACAGTATTACTACATCATCAATAAGTGTGTGACCCCCTGAGAGGTACACAAGCTCCAGACCTTCTACCTCAACTGTTCAGTCTGAGAGGAAGCGTACACTCCCGAATGCATATACAGCATCCATTTGCGCTCCACTGTAGTCTACTGCGGTAATTCCCGCCTGATCTACTCATGCAGACCATCAGTGCAACACAAATCCTACCTGCGTTTCATTGCTGAAAAGCTGGGCACGTCGAGGGGCGTAGTACTCACGTACGATACCTCCCTGCCGACGAATTACTTCATCTGAACAATGCCGATTCCTCGTGCCTCATTCATTGCACGAACTAAGTGCGAGGATCTGAGTCCTCGACATGACTGTATGGGGCCCCTGCAACAAGCCTTTTGCCCGCCCTAAGTGAAGGCGGTCACCCTGACCTCAACGAGGCCTGAATATCGCAAATTTCAGTGGGTGCCAGACAGTTGCCATGCGCCAAGTTGGTTATATGAGTCCTTCTCGCAAGCATCAGAATCTTCTCTAGAGTATCACGGATTATCATCATTATCATAGATTAACATCATTATGATGATCATCATCAATATTAACGTCATCACTCATCAGTATTTTCATCATCATCATTGTCTTATTAGCAGTATCAGTAGCATCATGAGTAAAGTTCATTTGGGACGTTGGGCCCGGTTCCCAGCACGCGCTGATTTACTATCTTAATTTTGCATCTCAGGGGATGCTGGACCAGCTTTCCAGCAGGTGTAGCTCCCCACCAATAGACTAGAGCCCCTTCAAGACGGGTGGGAGTGCATGCTCGTATCATCACAGTGACTCCTACCTGTTGTTGCAGGTGGATTAAAAAAAAAAAAAAAAAAAAAAAAAAAAAAACTTCTTTGAGACTTCTAGGCTCTTCCAGCTTCGACGTGGAAGCAGGCCTCTCGGCCAATCTTGATGCAGTGTTACATGCCCGGTTGGGCGATGTACATAATAACCGAGGATCCGCAATGTGATAAAAAGGACTGAATGGACAATTCAGTGCAAGTGAAATCTCAACAAGCAGTGTACATTCTGATACATTCAAAGTGGTGCTTTATAGCGCAGGGAAGACTTAGATACAAGTCCTGACCTGACCGGGACTGACCTCTTTCGCGTAGTACAAGATAGCGCAGCAGAATACTAGAATACTAATGACTAGCCCAATCGATGTTACAACGCAGACCAAACATACATCATTCTCACCACACGGTGTGAAGGGTGCCTGGTGCTATACACAGGAAGAGGCGCCAGGTCCAGTTCATGCACAGACGAAGAGGAGGGGATCAGACGGAGAAGAGGAGGGGAGAGATGGGAAAGTGGCATCTATTGGTGGGGGGCATCACCTGCTGGAAAACGGGTCCAGCGTCCCTATACATATGTTGAGAAGTATGAGTGTTCGATATGCTTGTACAGACTAGGCTAGGCTATGGTATGCTCTGGGTTCCATCCTTCCGTGTATCTTACAACCTTACCCAGGCGTATTATATAAGTGTAAATGAAAGTGAGTGTAGGTTAGTGTACAGTGGGCCATTTCTATCGTCCATTGTGTACATTTTGTACATTGTGTATATTACAGCCTTGTGCAGGCATGGATGCTGTAAGTTGTAAAAGTGAGATTAGAGGTTTGTGGGTTGTGAGTTGTGCGTTGTGATTTGTGATTTGTGAGGACATTATGTCTTTATGTCTGTGTATATCCATTAGTGCAAATGTATAAAGGTGTAAGAGTATAAAGTACTATAAACTGTGCTTCCATGTAAGAGGTTCGAGGTCATGCCTGTGATATGTTATGCTGTCTGTTATGCATGTTACAGCCTTGGAGAGGCGTGCTGCGTGCGTTTGTGTGAAATGGATTGTGCGTGCTTTTGTATAGTGGAGATTTGTCAGTTGCGGATTGTGAGTTGCAGTGGATATGAGCAGTGTGTGTATGTGCGTATGTGCGTGTCAGTATAGGGGTGTAACTTGTGAGTGTGTTTCCCGAGATCCCCAAGTTACCCTTAAGTTACCCCCTCATGCCTGTGTCCTTTTCCTCATTCGGGATTAGGATTTCAGAGATGGTCGAATCTGGACTGATATCTGCAGAGTTGCTTTGTTCTGTGCCCCTGGTTTGCCGATGCCAGAAGGACGCTGGCCGGAGCTGAGGGAGGAAGGCAATCCAGTGGCGAACCGGGGGGGGAATGCCTTGACAGCCTATGGGTCCATGGATAGTCTAGGTGGCGAGAACAGGTCAGCTATGGTTGATGTTAGTTAGGATGGCATTGTCTCTGAGATGTAATGTCCTGGTACCAGGAGGGCTAGGAGTTGTTCTAGGATTAGGAGGCCAGAATTGCTGATATAGTACAGTCTTCCATATTTTTTATAAACTAATCATCATCATCATTAGCATCATCATCATTAGTATGATTATCTCACAGTTTGCATAGAATCAGCAGAAGTTCATCATCATCATCATCATCATCATCATCATCATCATCATCATCATCATCATCATCATCATCATCATCATCACATGAGGGACGCTGAGGCCGGTTCTCAGCAAGTTCGGTTCGGTCACTCCAGGTAGACTATGAGGACCCCGGCCTCATCTTATTGGTAATATCAGCCTTGGGCACTGGGCCCCTTTTTTTTTTTTTGTTTTTAAGTTCACGCTTCATCGCACGAAACTCCACACACGAGATGCAACCCAGTACGATACGAGAACACTTCAGAGATTGTTCAAAAATTCAAAGTCTTATACAACAGAGTCTCACATGTACACTGGCAGCTGTGCTGCCACTCACAACAACATTGTCCTATCTGCCCTCAGGCCTCTCTCTCTCTCTCTCTCTCTCTCTCTCTCTCTCTCTCTCTCTCTCTCTCTCTCTCNCCTCTCTCTTCCACTCTGAATGTCTTCCTCGCGCCTCTCTCTCTCTCCAACTCTACCTGTACGGCGCCGGGTGCCGTGGGCTACCCTGCTAGACTGCCTCTCAGGCTCACTTGATGCTTGACCGCACAAGACTGCAACAGTGCTTCGGCGACAGGCCCGAATGTAAATTGTGCCATTGCTTGGCTGCTGCTGGACTTCTGTACATTGCTGCAGTTCCCCGATAGTGGTCTTTTCCAACTTGTACCCTGACTTGCTGGCATTGGCTGGTCCTTCGGTACTCCCCGGAGTTACAGGACTTCTCTGGGACTGAGCTGCGGTTTGGACTGGACAGACAGGTGACTGACTAACTGGGCCTAAGGACCTACAGGCCTACCAGACCGATCAGGCCTACTGGTACACATGAACTTACAAGTCCTATTGGACCTAAAGTACAGACGGGCCTACCTGTTTGGACTATAGTACATGGGATGGGCCTACTTGTCACTCTGCCGGACTAAATTCGAGGTCATCCGACAAACTACGACTTCATTCATCTACTGCGTAGAAAGAACCATTGGCATCCCTAACTATATCTTACACTTCCCATCACCCTCTATAGGTCCGGTAGGCCCCTCTAAACTCGAACATTTATGACGTCCCTGTAAACCCTAAGAGGACCTGAATGCTGCAAAACCTTCACCCCCCTGAACTCAACCATTAGTGACACCCATGCTAGGCAAGGTCCTCACAGTGGAAACTATAAGAATTACAAGGACTAAATAGTAAATTCATAATCCTTCATGTGCACGCAGCCTCCCACACAGAAGTTGTTTCTCAATGCTGCTGTCAAACATCGGACTTCGGTTCTTAATGTCCGATTCCTAGCCATGGGCCATCTCTGACAAAAGTACAACAATGGTATCCGGACTCCAGAGGCTAAAACAGTCCCAGTTGGGGACTCGGGACCAAATTACCACCTTCAGCTGGGCGGGGCCAACTATGCTGATGTGGTTAGATGATTCACCGCACCTGACCTGACTTGATGCCAACTGGCCAAGGGAGTGGCCATTTTTTTCGTTTTGTTGTTGCGGCAAGATCGTGTCCACCTCCCAGAGTGGAAAAGGAGCCAGGCCCATAAGGACCTGTTTAAAAAAAAAAAAAAAAAGATTGTGTTCACCTGATATACACAGCACACATGCCGGTTTCCCAGAGGTCTGACAACCATGTTATCTTGCAGTAGTGCACTAGCTATGGGTCAATAGGTGAGAGTTGCGTATCTCTCTTCTCCTCTCCTCTCCTCTCCTCTCCTCACCTCTCCTCCTCTCTTCTTCACTCCTTCCCTAAAATTCCTAAATCTCCCTGTGTCTTCAACCAAATAGAATCCATGGACATTATAGCTGTGTTTGGGGCAACTTTCAGTCTATAAGATACACTGATAATGACCCTGTGTTCTGCCCGGGTACTTCCTGATGCTTCTCCAAGGCAAGCACCACAGCACACAGATGGTCCCAAATCAGCTTGGTGCGCGGCATCTGCTGGTTTGCTCTCCAGATTGCGATCGGTGGGAAAACATGATGTGGTGAGCAAAAGACCAAGACTGATGATCTTCGCTTAAATCTGGAGCCCACTTCCAGCATCTGGCACGCACTTTCGGCATCTGGCACCCACTTCCTGCTCCCCCTTAAATCACCACTCCTGCTGAGCGACCAAGAAAATTCCCAGTTGGTAAGGGGTAGGCCCCAGCCAGGCTCGGAAAACAGGCCCGGTGCAGGTTTGGCTGGGGTGGAAATTGAAAACGGTCTTCGCTCAGGTCTGGTTGGGTTACCGGCCCAGGCTTGGGGTCTGGCAACAAAAAACGAGTGGCGGTTGAATGCCATGGTGTTAACATCCTTAACACAACGGTGTTAACAGCCTCAACACGCAACCTGTTTGACAGTGCCAGGTTCGTTGGGCACTTCCTCGGGCTGGTTGAGTCCTCCGCTCCATATCTTCCTTCTTGGGTCCCTTGCCCGAAAAGGCATCCTTTCTGGGGGTTGTTCATCGATACCCTGACTCTCTCATTGGGTGTGCGACATCCTACCCCTGCCTGCTTGAGCCCTCAGCTTCATCTCCTGTTCCTGGTCCTTGCCCGGAGAGTGACCCTTTTGGGATTTTTCATCCGTGCCCTTTGACTCACTTGAGCTCTTTGGGCTCTCTACCTCCTCCCCCGGGCCGTTGGAGTCCTCAGCTCCGACTCCCTTTTCAGGTCCCTTTTCCGAAGAGTGGTCCTTTTTGGGACTTTCGTCTTTTGGGCCCTTCAGCTGTCTGGAGCCCTTTGGGCGTCCAATCTCCAGCATAAGCAATCTTAACTTGTTTCCAGACCCTGGTGAGCCGGTGCTATCTGCCAAACCCTTCTGTGAATCTGCAGGCGTGGAGCTGTCGCCTGGTACCTTCAACTTCGTTTGCGGTTTTGTTAAACGGGAGGCTTGATCAGAGGATAAGGCCTCAGGAGAGCCTGGGAGGGGGAAAGGCATCCTTTTTGTGGGCCCGCTTCGCGGGCCTTTTGGAGTTGAACTGCTTGATGGCCCCTCAGAGGGTGTTTGAGGGGATGTAGCAGGGCTGCCACCAGCACCTCGAGCCATGAGCGCGGAAAGTAGGCCACTCATCAGAGCCACTGGGGAGGGGATGGGCAGGTATGAACTCCACCCTCCTTCAGATTGTTGGGATGGTGGCTGGGGGGCCATCGCCGACCTGTCACCGCTTTCACCCGTTGGGACGTCTGATTGGGCTGGAACGACTGAACTGCTAGCCTCCGCGCTGGGACTTTGCGGTGCTCCTTCCTCGTCTGCCAGTGATGCTGAGGGGGGTGAGGAACCTTGGTCTCCTGCAGCCTGTTCCACGTCATTGGATGGTTCATCTGCGGCTGGCTGGGTGCCATCATCCTCCGTTGATGACTGCTGGGTCGACGGTTCTGGTGCTGTAGTGGGTTTGAAATCCTCGTCAGCGATCGCAGGCGTAGACTGACTAACTGTTGGACCAGGTGGATATTGGGGCAAGGAATCCTGCGCTTGTGGTTCAGATGCAGGTACAGTGGATGGTGTGGATACTGATGATGTAACATCTGCACCGCTGGCTGGACCTGGGGATTCCTCTGCCTGAGATTCACCTCTTTGCGTCCCTGACGACGGAGGACGCCCTTTGGGGGTTCCCTGAGGGCTAAACTCCAAGCTGAACAGCGGAGATGTGAATACATTCCGCATACCAGCGGGTTCATGGTCGTCCGCCGCTTGAGCAGGTGCTGCACCATCATCCTTGCCGCCTTCTCCCTTCTCGTACGATGGTTGCTCTTCTAAAGAAAGGCGGACCAACTTCCGTGGCCCGTGAGCCTGTTTTTTCATTGCAGATGACATGGTGATCATTGGCACATGGGGATGGATGGATGATCGTAATGCTTGGTCTTCCGGTGGGAGGAGAGCAGCAGGAAGCTCGTGTATTGCCCAGTAGCCGGCAGCCATCATACGCTGCAGATCTTCATCCACTTCTGAGAGAAACCTGTGGGAGCCTCAATGTCCAAACCACAACATGAGACACGCCGAAACCATTTCGGTGGTGAGATTGCAGTCAGAGAGCAGTTGAGCACATCCCATATTAAAATGACCCTTCGATTTACATCTTCCAATGAACATGTTTTCCTTAAAAAAGCCATTTGCAGTTCACATTACAAAGCGTTCACACTTAGACGCGCATGAGACAAGCGTATGACGACTGGAAGGATCAACCAGGTCATTCAAATGAACATGGTATTTCAATGCAAACCATCACGCTTTCGTTAATATGGAAAATGACAATGTAAGGTCTAAGGCCCAAAAAAAATAAAAAAATAAAAATAAAAAATGGTCTGGCCCAGGCCATGTGGCTGAATGTCGCAACGGGAACATCATTGCAGAGTGTAAGCTACGGCGCTGGGGCATCGCCCTGTAACCTTCATATGGAGCTTGAGGCCTTGGATAGAGATCTGGGGATTGCTGAGGGCGGAAGGCAATTACAACACTTGACCAAAAGCTACAATCTGGCCGATGAGGGTCGGCGCTGGCGTGGGTGGCGCTGCCCTGTAACCTAGCTAGATTGGGGTGTGAGACCGGGTAGAGGCTTGGTTGGTATACAATATTGACTCGGTAGAGACTGGCTGGTTAGTATGGATATCTGAGATTAGGGTTAGGGTAGTATGAGTAGTCAGCATCAATCTCTAGCTTATTATCTCAATCATGCTGAAATGTTCCTGAATCATCCCAAATCCTAAATCTTATGGAGTATCAGCCGCGGGGCACAGCCGATGGTCCACAGCGCGCAGGGAACCATGTTTAAAATGAAGGAGGGCGGTGGGATGAAGGGAATCGGCGGTGTGGGAGAGTGCAGACCCAAGTTTCCACCCGAATGTTCACAGCGCGCTGGAGAATGTGGGCGCACTGTTTTCGGACGTCGGAGGGCAAGGAGCAGGAGGACCATGGATAGCAGTTAATATCTTGCAAGCCATGCCATCTGATTGGAGGGAGTGTCACGTAGTCAGTTTTTCTTTTGTATCGGGTTTGCGCAGCCAGTTCGTTATTTTGTGAGGCCAGTCTTTTACTTATTTTTACTTTTTTTTTTTTGTTGTGTGAGGCCAGTTTGTCATGCGCAGTTTTTTATTTGTTGGTTTTTGTAAAAAAGAAAAGAAAACGACATGCACGCATTTTGGCTTCTTTGCTTTTCCGCGGTTGACATTTTTGGCATCCGGAGAATAAGAACGAATCTGCCGCAAGCACATGGAAAGATATGCGCAGATGTCGGAGTATCTTTCCATTTTGCACATCAAGTGAGTAGTGGAACGAGACTCTCTCTCTCTCTCTCGCTCTGCCTCTCTCTCTGCCTCTCTCTCTCTGTCTCTCTCTCTCTGTCTCTCTCTCTCTCTCTCTCTCTCTCTCTCTCTCTCCTGTCTCTTATACACATCTAGATGTGTATAAGAGACAGCCCCTAAGACTCCCCCACTTTTCCCAAAAATCCTT